TTCAATTTCACTTTCATTTAGATTCATTTCTGCTAATCTTGTTAATACTGCTTCTTCTTTTTTTTTAGAAATTGGGTCTTTCTCATTATCTGCAATTTCACATTTCCTCTTTAGATTTTCTTTTCGCATACTTGTTTCTTTTTCTTGTAAATCGAGCTCCATTTTGGTTGAGGTACAAATCATCTCTAATTTCTTTTGCTCACTCAGCTTGAGTCATTCATTCTTCATGCTTGTTGTCACCTCAACAACTTTGCCAATTAGCACCTGTTCTTCGAGTGATAGTTTCTTATCTTGGTCTAGTTTACTTAAAACTCAATTATATGTTTCTAATGCACTGTGGATTGTTGTTATAAATTCTGGGTTTTGATATCCAAAATACTTTGCTACGTGTTGATCTATATTTAAAGTGAATATACTATGCTCTGTATATAATTCTTGATGCTTATTTTCTGTTGCCAGTACAAAATCTTTCATTAGCATTAAATTTATATGTTCACTAATTTATATATTATACTTGTATTAGAAGTATGTTGTGTGATTTTCTTTTCAAAGTTTCTAGAATAAATGTTTATTTTGTTATATATAAACACGTGATAGTGAATGTATAGTTGTTTGTTTTGTTTAATAACAAGAGTGTTTGTTTTGTTGCTTGATTTCCATTCTAATTCAGTTGGATAATTTAACTTTAATAAATTATTTGATGCAACAAGAATATCAGTTATATTCTGATTTTTTTTTAATTTTTCAGTTATTAAAAATATACTATTCCAACAGGTTGAATGTCTAGATTAGATACAAGAAGCTTTTTATTTTTCATTTTAAATATATCTTTTAATTTTCTAAAAATTAGTTGAGAATTATATATAGTAGATGTGAAGGATCTTGCTTTTATAATAGAAGTATCAACAAGTTTTAATCCTTCTGTAACAATTAAATTTAAATTGTGAGTAACACAATGATAATACTAAAAATCATTAGAATCAAATTCTTCTTTGAGGCTTTGTTGTAATTAATTAGCAAAAGTTATCATATTAGATTTATTATTAATTGTTACAGCAATTATTTTTTTTTCAATTTTATAAAAACTAATAACTTCTAATATAGTATTTGAATATTTAATTACACATGATCATCATTAATAGAAACAAGATTAAGATACAATTTTTGAATACTCCAATTATCATTAATCTAATGGAGTTTTATAGATAAATAATTACTATTATTACAAGCAGTTTATAAATTAGTTGTAATAGTCAATTTTTTTATTGTTTTTAAAAAGTTTTTTAACAATAATTGTTGTTTTTGATAAATTACTTCAATTTGATTAGATATAGTTTGTTAAAATAGTAATCAATACTGTTCATCATGTTCTTTAATTAATTCAATGAAACTAGAATCTTTGATAACTAAAAAAAATTGTTAATTACAAATAATCTATTTATAAGCAAATAAGTAATATGTTTAACTTTTGATTCAGTTGCACAATTTAATTTTAAGTTATCATGTAGGCTGAGAAACATCATAGTTGCAAAGTTTATAGTAATTTTATATATTTTTATTATAATTTTATATATAAATATATATATATATAGAAAGGGTGTAGTGACTTAGTGAAGTGGTGGAGTTGTCGTACCCTCAAATGGCAGGTCTAGAGTTCAAATCCCACAGATAATGATTTTGAAAAAACTAGATCTGTATTGGTTAATGTTAAGATTATCAGTTAGATCCAGATATCTGTAATCTTGATCGCATCATCTCAAATGGGAGCTTTGGCAGAATAAATCCAGGAAACCAGAATTACCGAAAACTCATTTGGCAAGTCCAGATTTGGGAATAGCAGTGATTTTTAATGGTGCTACAGGAAGACTGAATTTAAAACCAAAAACTGAGTCCAGAGAACTGAGCGACTAGGTTCTTAAGTAGGGGGACACACTAGCTGAACTGCCAGCTTGCTACTAGAGAAAAAGAACTTGTACTCCAGAAGCATG